AATTTGGGGGGAGGGGTGCTGGCATTATGAACCTGCATTTAATGAGTTTCATCAATCATTTTGCCAGTGATCTGTTTTGGCTTGGTGTAACTAATTGTTGTCAGCTTCAGTTGCTGCTATTCTTTTTGAAATTGTTTTAGGAATTGAGTTGTGAGGGCAGTTTTTCACAACCTGGGCTTTTTGAAGATGTGGGGAGGGGGGAATTCTGGGAGTTGAAGTCCACACATCTTCAAGCTGCCAAGGTTGAGAAACACTGCTCTAGCAACTCAATTCCAAATACAATTTCAAAAAGAATAGCAGCAACTGAAGCTGACAACAATTAGTTACACCAAGCCAAAACAGATCACTGGCAAAATGATTGATGAAACTCATTAAATGCAGGTTCATAATGCCAGCACCCCTCCCCCCAAATTGTAAAGTACCAGCAAAATAGCTGTGGAATACTTTAAGGACTACTTTGAATGGCAGTTGAGAAGAAGCAGGAATTAATCTAGAAAATGGAAAAATGTAAATACTGTATTAGTAAAACCAAGCTACATGCTTGACTGCAAAGCTTTTTCTCACTGAAATAGTCTTGTGAGCAGTTTTAAAGATGCAATCCTTCTATCTTTGATAGAATGACAATTGCAACCTAGTTCAAGAATAAATACTGGCATAAGTAATCAGTCATACAAGAAAAGTCATAGTAGTATAACACAAATATATGGATAAGTGCCAGTTATTAAGCAGACAAAATGGTCTGTTTCTGATCAGGCAAGTTGTTCTTTAAAGAATGCTGTAGATCTTTAAAAAAAATCTTGTAATGGAAAAGGCTTGCCTTTTCATCTTTATTTTAAGAAAGATGAAAACTGCGTACTTTATATGTTCTACTCCAAGCTTGAAGCCATTTAATCTAAGCTTCCTAAATGTCTCACAGGACAGTAATCATAGTTTTCATACCAAGATCAATAAAAAAATAAGAATACATTTGAAAATAAGCCTAAAAGAATCTTATTAAGGAATTTAGGGGGCATGACACTTTTTACACTTCCCTAATGCACACTCGACTGCTTTTTCACAGGAATTGAAAGAAAAGATGGATGATCTTCTACCACTGATACCAGTTCTGGAACAGTACAAAACAGATGCCAAGTTAATCACCCAGTTCAAAGAGGAAATTAGAAATCTGTCATCAGTACTTACTGGAATCCAAGAGGAAATTGGTGCTTATGATTATGAAGAACTACATCAACAAGTGCTCAGTTTGGAAACCAGGCTTCGAGATTGCATGAAAAAATTGAGTAAGTTCACACTTTCATTTCACATTGAATTCTTCATATGTGCATTGCCTGGAATTCTTCCATGCCACCTTGTTCTCTGAATTTATTTTTTATTTATTTATTTGATTTGTATAGCCACTCATCTCATCTAAGTGACTCTAGGCAGCTCAAAGTAATTGAAAACAACATTGAAAAACAGAAAACAAACCAAAAGAAACAGACATCCCAAACCATCAATAAAAACCATATTCAAAACAAAACAAAACCAGTGGCGGAATCAATCACTACATCACATTCAATATAACCACTGAAGAAGTGTCAGCAAAATGATCCACAGACTGCCAGTTTGATTCAATCTCAATTCTCCCGCTTTCTCTTTTAAAGCCCAAGAAACTAGGGGGTCCCTTCTGAGCCTCTTGCCCCAACCATTATGCAGCTGTGGGCTATGCTATCTCTTATCTAACCGTTCCCTAGACAGCATCTCTTCACCCTGTCCCAAGGTCTTTCCCCCATACCAATACAAGAAGCTCTCCAGTACCACCTGAACTCCAAGCACAATGACAAAGGCATGTCTTCAGGACCTTCCTAAAGGCCAGTAGTGTCAGGGCCAACCTAAGTTCCAGGGGAATGATGTTCTGAAGAGTGGGTGCCACAGCAGAGAAAGCTCTCTTCTTGGGTCACATCAGATGACACTCCTTCATAGACGAGACCAGTAACATTGGTATTCCTACTGTCCATTAACTTTGTTCTGAAAACTATCCTCTGACAACCATGAGATTGAATCAAACTGGCAGTCCGTGGACCATTTTGCTAATCTGCGTTACATTCCATTTGACCTCTATAAGCATATGTCAAATTATGTGGGCTTTCCCTAAATTGTAGTTGTGTTAGTGGCTATGTGAGGAGCTGTATCTAACATTGGATCTAGCAAATCTAGTTAGAGTTATCTCTTGTGACCCCTATCAGTTAAGCAATAGACCTACAGGGGTGTTTTGGAAACTGTACCCTACTGCAGTTTGTTGCAGCCTCAGCTGCATAATGCATAAGCTAGAGCAGGAATGCACAATCTTTTCTGAACAAAGAGCTACCCTTGCTATTTGAATGACATGCTATGGACAGGGCTGAGCCAAAAACGTAATTGGAATGTAATTAAATTTTAATTACCTAAATACAGTTAATGTGATGCTTCTCATGCATTTAAGAATTTCTCTTTACAATCAGGTTAATGATTACAGAATCATTAGCAACCCTTGGAAGGGTTTTGAAGTCATGTCCATGGCCATTGAGGCCTGTATCACCACGCTAGAAAGGAGCACTGGATTACTTACACTCCCCATTTTTCAGGTTTTGTTTTATATATTCAAAGATACTGAAGTTGGATTCCAAAGCTCCTTTCAAAATCTGGCAGTTCTGACATCTCTTTCAGATCATGCAAAATATATATTATAAATACTACCAATTATTATGGTTTGCAAAAAGAATAATTACAGTTCCAACAGCTAATTCTGCACGCTTTAAGTTATGCATTCTTATAATTTTGAGTGTTCCTTGCACTTAGAAAATTCAGTGCTGTGCAGACATGTCTAGATATCTGTATCTTTTGTCTGTGTGCATGCTTTATATGGATATATAGACATGTCACAGCAGATAGCTGCACCTAAATGACCTTGAAAAAACTAAGCAGGGTCATATTGCACACAGAAACTGGGACCTGACATCACTGTCTAAGCCTTTGATCAAATTAAGCATTAAAGTTTGTTCTTCTGATGCTCCTGCTGTGACAGTGAGATAGCCACCCATATCTAGGTCAATCCCACAGGGATAGGAACAGCAGATAGGAACAGCAGATTGGATCAGTTGCCTCTCTTCTGGGAGAAATGCTTGCAGGACTTTTCCTGCTTTAGCTGGAGAATGAAATACAAATCTGCTACGTGCTCTGAGACTGAGCTGGCACTTAAACTGATCCCAAAGCTCCGACATAGCCCCTGTGAATATCTGCCAACCATATCCATTGCTGCAGGAAATGTATTTGGCAACTGGGTTCTGTGCACCACGCTTCACATCCCAAATTATATCCCTAATGGACAGAGGCAGTGGAGACATTTGTCTTACTGACAACTCTTGGCTATAAAAATAGTGGCGAGAGGCGCTTATTAGTAACAGTAAAGGTACATTATCAATAAGTGCCAGAACACATTCATAGTTTCCAATGTTTGCAGCCCATCTCAGAAATGACAGAAGGTGATGGTTTTACTGTACATTATTTCTAGAGAAACTGAGACACCATTGTCATCCTTAGTGAACAGATCTCTCCTCAACAGTGTTTCCTCAGTACATTCACAATACTGTAGTTCAAAAAGACAGGCTAGTATTTCAGATAAAGGCAAGGTTAATGACTGGCCCAAATTCATTCAGTGAGCTTCTATGGTTGAGGTGGTGAGGCCCTGCTAGAGTCTGAAGCTTAATCCATTTTTTCCAAGGATGCTAGGTGATGACTGTGATAAAATTCAAGTAACAAATAATTTAGAGACATATGAGACCACTCCAGTTTATAGAGTCATGGGATTGGAAGAGGCCATTTAGGCACTGTGTCTATGTTGCTGCCCTGAGTCTGGAGATCCAAATTAAAGCACTCCTGTGATGGACTGGAATGGAGGAAGGGGGGTGAAAACAGCACTCTCGTCTCCAGAGCAACGTCTCCACGCTCTGGAGATAAGCGGAGGAAACTGGTGCATCCCTAAAAATTCCAGAAGATAGTGAAT